AAAAGGTTGCGAAAGGCTGCTATGGACTGTATGAGGGACTGTATGAGGGACATTGAACCTCCGTAATATTAGAGGGTTGCTCTGGAAGGAAAAGGTTGCGAAAGGCTGCTATGGACTGTATGAGGGACTGTATGAGGGACATTGAACCTCCGTTATATTAGAGGGTTGCTCTGGAAGGAAAAGGTTGCGAAAGGCTGCTATAGACTGTATGAGGGACATTGAACCTCGGTTATATTAGAGGGTTGCTCTGGAAGTAAAAGGTTGCGAAAGCCTGCTATAGACTGTATGAGGGACTGTATGAGGGACATTGAACCTCCGTAATATTAGAGGGTTGCTCTGGAAGGAAAAGGTTGCGAAAGGCTGCTATAGACTGTATGAGGGACTGTATGAGGGACATTGAACCTCCGTTATATTAGAGGGTTGCTCTGGAAGAAATAGGTTGTGAAAGGCTGCTATGGACTGTATTAGAGACATTGAACCTCCAGGGATCTTGGGACATCTCACCACAGGCCACCCGGAGAGATGGGCGAAAGAAAGATGAAACATCAGTGGGCCAACCTTGTGAGACATCTGTGTACTTAGCAGCACTTAGCGAGGATGTATTGGCTTAATCATAACCACCACTGCTGCGACTCCAGCCACAGATGACACAAAGCATGGTACAGCAATGAAGAAAAAGCAAAAACCAGCACAGATTCCTAAATCGAAACAACATAACGCTTTGTTGCAAGCAAGAAGGAAACCAAAGAAGGAAATATTTGTTTAATGGGATTTAAAAGGAACACGTCCGAGAAAAAAAAGTTTGTATCTTTCTTTCCCTTGAACATTTTCTGACCAGCTCTGGCAATGAAGGCGAGCAAATTGCCGCTTTCTCATTAAAATGCAAATTATCCTGACCACTTCAAACACAAAACACCAGGGTAACATTACTGCCACGGGCAGCCATGACTGGGTGAACACTTACCATTCAGTCCATTAGGAATACTCCTGTGGTGGGATATGGTGGAAAGGTCATCTGCAGATCTCCTGATGGTCCCAGACTTGGTGTTCTCCACCGGTTTATGGTGATGGTGGTGGTGGTGGTGGTCAGGGCTCCCTGCGCTGCCTGTGCTGGAGGTGCTGCTGCCATCGCCTACATCCCTGGTACTAGAACCCCCGTTGAGGTTGGTGAGGCTGGTCTGGCTGTCGATTGAACTCCTGGAACCAGCTCCATTCCTTTCCTCGTCCAGCATGAGGACTATCTCCTTCAGCTCCAGGTTGTCCCTCAGGAGAGCCTCCTGCTTGGCCTCTAGCTCCTTTAGCTTCTGCTGATAAGCTCCCACCTCCTTCCATATTACACTAGCCGTGTGCCGGCCAAACCTCTGCCATTCCCTGGACAGCTTCTTGCCCTTCTGCCTGTCGTCGTCCAGGAAGCAGCAGAGTTCCCTGAGCTCCTGGTTGTCATCCTGAAGTTTCTGGTTGACCTCCTTCAAGCCCCTGATCTCATGCAGGTGAAGCTGCAGCCTCCTGTTCACATCCTTCATCAGATTGCCATGCTCCACCATCAAGTTCATCTTCTCGGTCTCCACTTTCCTCAGCTTCTTGATGAGGTCCTCCTTGCTCCACCTCAGCAGCTCCTCATCCGAGATCATGTTGAGCTCCTCCGCAGACCCTCCTTGGGCATGCTTGGCCATGGCAGGTGGTTAAAAATAAATAAATATAGGTATGCACAGCAAGGGTTGCCAATCAAGATCAAAGTCCCCTTCTGCCAACTAGCATCACTGTGCTGCTATACAACATATGCAATGCACAGCCAAGGTCCAGAGGTCTCATTCATTTCTGGTTGCAACTTCTGTGCAGAGGGACGAAGAGTCTTCAAGGGATGTTACCCCCTAAAAAACATTTACTCCAAGGGGTTGTTTTCCTGTGTCATGGAAACAGAAGTCCCCTCTGTGTGGAGATATAATCCTTTAGCTCAGCCCAGGCTCCGATCTCTCAGCTCTGCTGTCTCCAGCTCATCTGAATCCACCCTCCCAGTCCTGCCCAGCCTCCAGAGCTGCCAGCTTTTTTTTTTTTTTTCCTCCTGGATCAAACAAGCTTTATTGACAATCACCTGGCGCACAGCCCAAACTAGGTCAACGTTCTACTCCAATTGAAAAATAACAGAGTGGCACGAGGCTGCACCGATCTCTGACTTTCCTGAGCCTGGAGCTGTGTACACTCCGCTCTCTTCGCAGTATTTTCCTATTGCCCTGTAGCCGAGTTATTTGTTTTGGATACATTGTGCAAAACGAATCAACATATCAAAGAAAAAAGTAAAAGCCGCCCTCCTTGATTGATTATTGTGGTCATAATGTAAACGTTAAAGGCTAACTCCACCTTTTGCAAAAACAAAATTATAAAAAAAACGAAACCGCATTAATTTATTAATTGTTTGCATTGGAGCCCGCAAAGCATTGCCAGTGCGATCCGTGGATGGTGGGTGCAACGCACGGGCTCCTGCAGACTATTTCTCCCATTCTCAGGCCTGTACAGAGGTACGGGACGTTTGGTAGTTATTAGGGCTTGTTCACACCAATTGCAGACCAGATCTGCATGAGTTTCTGCACACGTAGTGCAGTGTGTTATACTGCGTCTTTTGCCGCGTTTTTTATGCGTTCCCATTGGACGCAGTTTTGATCCGTTCTGTAACTGCTCCGCTCCTGGAATGCGCTTGGTGTGAACTAGCCCTTAATGGACATGCGGCTTTAATATTTTTGGACCAGCACATTATATGACAACAAATGCGGCTGTAATATTTCTGGACCAGCACATTATATGAGAAGATATGCGGCTGTAATATTTCTGGACCAGCACATTATGTGAGAAGATATGCGGCTGTAATATTTCTGGACCTGCACATTATATGACAACAAATACGGCTGTAATATTTCTGGACCTGCACATTATATGACAACAAATGCGGCTGTAATATTTTTTGGACTCACATATGTGCAGTAGCCGGTGAGATTTCTGGACTTGCTGAGCCGATCAGCTGCTGACGACTTTCACATGCCCCCGGAAGTCCAGAAATCTAACAGGTCCAGACAATTTGCAGAACACCGGCTCTGTTTGGGTATTCCGATAGTGGCTGGCGGCGGCTGACAGCATACAATGACGGGGTTTCCTCGATGGACACGCTCGTCGTGTTGATGGAGGAATCTGCTCTATTTTTTTTGTTCAGCCTGCGGGTTGATCGAGGAAAGTAGAGCCGTGTATGGCCAGCCTTAAATATTGAACGATGAAGCGCACACAGAACCGATTGAAAATACAATCCATCAGAAGTGATCTATCAGTAAAACAATATTTTCATTGATCTGCTTTACAATTGGCTATCTGAGTCACATGCAGAAATGTGTTTGATTGATCAGAAATCAATAATCAATCAATAAAATTCGACCAAAGCCGATCAATTGAAAGCTCACTTCATTGATGGGATGGAGGGTTTGAGGTTCCTGACTCTGATTTCTTTTGATCATTTTAGTCGCATTGAATGATTATATTGATACACGTTTGGCCACCTTAACAGAGGTTTAATTAACCCCTTACCCTTCTCCTGGACTGAAATGGCTTCCTCTGATTTCACTGCACACTGCGAGCTTCTCACAACGTGCATTAGAAGCTGCAGCAAGTCAGATAGAGCCCGCCTCATTTCCTGGCTGGAGGATGTCCAGCATAATCTAGCTCTTTCCTCCACAGTGTGCCTGTCCCTTTTATTAATTGGATATCAGTTCTTTCAACCATGAGGGATCAGTAGGACATGTGGGCATTATCTAGGGCACTTTGCACGCAGATGCAGTCTGCTAGGAATGCCCACGCAGTCAGATTGGCACCCACCCATCAAGGCATTTTGAGATTTGCATAACTCCTCTCTCCTAAGCAGTGGCCTGGCTCTTGGAAGGAGTTTTACATATCTCAAAATTCCTTAAAGGAGAACTATGGGGTTAAGGCTTTTCCCCATAGTTCTCCTTTCAGGAAGCTATGTACAGCACCCTGCCGCCACCCTTGCCGCCCATAGCAACCAAAAGATTATTATATGAGAATTATTTTAAGGGTTCCTCGAGAGTGGAAAGGCTGATAAAGGTTGTTCTCACCCTTCTGCACTCCCTACCCTTCCAAAATTTTGGCTTTGGATACATTTTAAATCTTTTGTATCTAGCGGATATAGATGATGATGATGATGATGATGATTATGATTCGGTGAGAGATTTTTAATATGTTGCAATATTTTTATATATTGTTGTACATTGAGAGTTTTATTTCTATACACCGAGGTGGTGAGAGCTCAGAGTTCATCAGGACCTGGACCTTTGTGATGGGAGGCTGGGAATGAAGCGTACATTCCTGCAGTCTCTGGAGTGAATGGGGGGCTCAGGGGTCATTTGATGAGTCCTTTGTAAAGTCTGCATTCATTTCCATGGGGGGTGGTCCTGCCTCTCATCCCCCCATGGTGTAGATAACACTAAGCCGCTTTCATTCCAGCATGCAGGCCCCTTCGCTGGTCTTGGAACCACCTGGGTTTTCTCCTCTGAAGTTTAAAGGCGTTTAAACCTATTGCAAACACTTCTTGGTCAGGCGCTGCAGTTATCATCGCCGGGGGGGATTCCCACTTTGATAATGAAATCGTTTTAAAAATTCATCTCTGCATGAAGAGATCCCCCGACATGGGGGAGATATCACAGGTTTATAAGATGACTTTCCCCATATATAAGTCATTCATACACATTTCTTGGAGCTGAACTCCAGGCAAGCGGATGAATACACAGACAGAATACAAATGTGGGAGTTGTTTTATCTGCCAAAAGGAGTTGTATTGCCGCCCATGCTGCAGTGGCGTCAATAGGGGGGTGCGGGGGGTGCGGCCCGCACCCGGTGACACCAAAATGACTGACAGTCATTTTAGTGTCACCCCCTCTGAAAAGTTGCGCACTCGGTCATGGACAGAGAGCCTGACAGTTGCACGAGAGAGGAGGTGACCCGGCGGTTGTGTTCCAGTGCTCATGTGCTAAAAAGGAACATGCAGATAGGAGGAGAGAACAGTGACAGAGGAAGGAGTATATAGATCTTCTGCTTCCCTATTCACTGCACAATCTCAGGCCAAGGGTGAACGTCCCCTCCTCTCCGTGCCAGCGTCCATCACCAAGATGGCCGCAGGCAGGTATCACCAAGATGGCCACGCATGTGCATGATGACATCGCAGTGGGGTGTGACCCGCTCCAGATGACACCCGACCTCTGGACGCCCCTGCCATGCTGTCCTGAGATGTACATGGCTCTGCCACACAGCCCGGCCCTGTATGTTAGGGCGGGAGACCTGTTTTTTTTTCTCTGCTGTAGTAAACTAAAATGGAGAAGTCTTGCCGCACCCCTGGCCTGTGATTGTGCAGTGAATAGGGAAGCAGAAGACTCATATACTCCTCCCTCTGTATGTTCCTCTTTAGCACATGAGTACTGAAGCAGAACCAATTGTCTCCTTGTGCTGCTTCTCTCTCTGAGCTCTGCTGTACAGGGACGGCAAAGGGTGATACCACATCGTATTCAGGCCCTAACATGGCTTCCATTCGCACATACATGTAACAATGTATTGATGAATAAAGCATTGCATTCATTTGTGTCTTTTATATTTGACCGTTCAGCTTTAAAGAGATTATTTCACTTTGTCCTTTCAGGTGAGTGTTTGGAGTTGACAATTGGTCACTTGGGCCTAAACACTACATCCTGGGAGGAGTTCAACTGTGCCCCCGTACCTGAAAAGCGGTATTTGCTATGGCCGCTATGACGCAGCAGGAGAGCATGCACAATTTTTTTGCGAATGCACCGCACTGGAACGCAGGGCATTTTATTACCACGTGTTCCTGCGCAGTTAATCGTACTGCAGACGGGTGGGAGCGTGCCTGCAGTGCCATTGCTCCTGTCCCATAACGCAAGGCGACTTTATGTATGCAATCCCTTGCATTCCGGGCACGGGACATTGCGGTAGATGCACAGGCTGGTGGAAACAAGCTCTCAATGTGAGCATAGATGGGTAGGGGGCAGGACTAGTAAAAGACGTCGTCATTTTGCCCATCCATCTCTGTAAGTTTGCCATAGATGGCGCAAAATTTACAGCATCACTTGCAATTATTGGGTCATGTTGGAACACACAGAGAGGTAAGTGCCTCTGATTCATTATTATGCAATGAGTAAATCCTTCCTATGAGTGGGGCCAATCCCCTGGTGGAGCAGAGAAAAGGAGCAGAGTACCTTTTCTACGCCAATGTCATCGCTGGGTAAGGGTAATAATGGCTGCTGGTGCAAAAACAACTCATTGGAGGGAATTGGTTGGCGAGTTATATGTCTGCCTGCTACCACCATTATACATTATACCCTGCGACCGCCATTATACCTTATACCCCTCGACCACCATTATATAATCTACCCCTCGACCACCACTATACCTTATACCCTGAGACCACCATTATACACTGCGACCACCACATTATACCCTGCGACCACCATTATACACTGCGACCACCACTATACATTATACCCTGCGACCTCCACTATACATTATACCCCTCGACCACCACTATACCTTATATCCTGCGACCACCATTATACACTGCGACCACCACTATACATTATACCCTGCAACCACCACTATACATTATACCCTGCGACCGCCATTATACCCTGCAACCGCCATTGTACCTTATACCCCTCGACCACCATTATACCCTGCAACCACCATTATACCCTGCAACCACCACTATGCATTATACCCTGTGACCACAACTTTTCCTCATACCCTGCGACCACCACTATACCTTATACCCTGCGACCACCATTATACATTATACCCTGTGACC